GATGCCTCGCATTGCTCGGTACCATTTCTTCCCCTTCAGGAGTGATTTTTTCCCTCTAAATACTTTGTCAACCCCAACGAATTCTACGCTTGCTCCATACTTGGCTTGAATGAAATGGGCATCCTTCTATTGACGATGAGCGGAAATGTCGCTGCGCGCCCCTTATTGCTGCGAATTCGAAGTGGTGTTCAATTTGTGCTGAACCCCTACTAGGATCAATCAAATGCGGTTTGCTATGGTATCTTTCAAAAATTTTCTCATAAGTCTCCTGTGTCTTGTTGCGCATAAGCGCATAGGCCGTAGAGAGCTGAAGAGAGCGTTACAACACTGATAAATAACTTGTTCACTTCATAATGATTTTCGAAGATTCCATGTAGAGTACTTACTCTCATGGTATCATTCGAACAATACCAGCGTAACAAAGGTGCCAGCTCTTGTAGAAAAGTTAAGCCATTGCCAAGTCTCCACAAAACTAACGCACCTACTAAGCATCGATCTGACGTAATGGTCACGAAGAGCGAGCACAACCACTGCACTATACCAACAAATTTGATAACAGACGCTTGCGATACACATGCCTTGCGCATGCAATTCTGCGATAACAGGCAAGTTCATGTAGCGTTGAATAAACAAGTTTTTCCGCGTTAAAGCGGTAAAAGCTCCCTATTCTTGTTTTTTTTTTATTTTGACTTTATCCAATTTAGAAATGTTTTGCTTGTGCGCATGTTGGAGAATGCTTGTAGCTTTGCTGCACACATGCTAAACCTAAATTAAGAAAGTGTCACGCGTTTGCCACTTTATCTCACTAGGTTAGCTTCTAACATTAGAAGGGAAGTACCGTGACTTCCAAGAAGTACGTTGAAGGTGACACTAGAATGATGTATATCTGAACACATTTGATATAGAAACATCTTAAATAAACCATAATGCCACTGACGATATTCTACAGTTGAGCTGTAGTAAAATGCCGTCGAGCAAAAAGAGACTTACGAGAGGTTCAATTTATAGTTGCTGAGACGACTGTTACAACTGAAATTTACCAAGAAGACGAAGAACTCGCAGCCATCGTCCAGCAGTATCAGAAAACACAAAAATCACTTTATTTTATTGAGTGCGCTTGTCGTCTTATAGCGGCGTTATTTTATAATAACGCCGCTATAAGACGACACTTAGGCGTAGATGACTGACTTCCCGTAACCGAAATACATATAATTTCATGCCTAAGGCACCCAGACGACGGCTGAAGAAGTTATATGTCTCGATGACAGTAAAAAGCTAAAGGAAACATTACAATTATTTGAAAATATAAAAGACTCTTGCTTGAGCTGCTCAGCATTATTGAAATAGGTAACACCAGCGCGTAACCTCCGCTTCGCGGAGGTTCGCACTGGCTCCCTATCCGTGTGCGTTTCTCATGTTCGCATGAGAGTGGCTTTGAAACTCACCACGCGATGCTGAGCATCACAAATGAATCGTAAACAACTGTTCATTCATGAAGCATCTCCATGTAAGAACGGTAATTTTGAGAAAAAAACTTTGTTGCAAGGAAACAAATGCGAATTTGAACGAATTACTGAATTTATTCTACTTTGATAATCGTTATAAGGATAATAGTCACCTTGAGCTACATTTCAGTGCAAAAATCTTTTTACTTTTTTTCAAATAAAACCTTGCCAAATCGACCATCTACACGTTCATCACTTTTTGGCGCTGTTTTCGAAAAAAAGCAAATTTTTGAGCACTTTTCGGGCTAGAATTCATGCCGCGCAGAGTTACTTGTCAGGCAAATCATAACTTTGTAAAAAGTCGAATTAGCGACCCAGTTTTGCGTGCCAAAAGGCGCGTGGACCCGTTTGACGCGCAAATCTTGAGGGACCCGCTTATCGAGCCGGCTCGTCCTTGCGCATGGTAGGCCTACACGCTGGCACGGTATGTTATGCAAAATTGCAGCCCGATAGCTTATGCAGCCTTCTATGAATTTCGTATCCGACAGATTTTCACACAGACAGACACACACACAAAAAACAGACGGCCTTAGCCCGTTATTATAGTAGGATAGGATAAATGTTGGAGGTTAGAGTCTCACAAAACAAACAGGCGTAAAAATTCCCTTGGCCCTTTACCATTGACTCATAGATGTATAGTGAAGCTTGACTGCCTCTAATAAGCTCAAACTATTCGCCTAGAACAGCCCCCGAATTGCAAAGGTATGTGTGAATTTGGACAATTTTGAGAGAGAGAGGGCGGAGCTTGCGGAAAAATGGCGGAGATTTTTCTGAAGGAAGTTGTCTACCTCATACATGATTCTGTCTCAAAGGGTCCACCCAAAATTTGCACTTCCATGTTTTGCCATTCTGAGGCCTTTTCAGAGTGGCCCCTGCTTACAGTCATGAAGTTCGAATTGTTCAGCCCCCCCCCCCCCCAAAAAAAACCGATCCCTGGGATCCTCGTCTTGAGGGCGCTGACGGCTATCAGTACAGGTAGGCGGAGCATTTAGGACCTGGGCAGGGCTCAATGGCACTTTGGCATTCCAGACCCATTATCTCCATTCAGAGACAATAATTTAGAAGCGGACCAACGCAGTTACCCCTCTCTTGAAGTCTACATCTCGCAGCACTAAGCAGAGGGGGTTAGATTTAGCATGGACAATGCTTCTAAGCGGAGCACACAACGGCGTCCCTTCCACAGTTGCTGCTATCCTTGGTCTGGGTCTCTGACCTGCGGCACGCATATCTGACATGTTAAATAAAACAATATGGGAGACGGTCGTAACGCGTGATCAATTGTCACTAAATAAAAGGGGCAATAAAAAAGTTCAAGTTTAGTCTACTACTTCTGGGAATTCGACTATGATCCTCCGTTATTACTTCTAGTCCGATGACAGAACTTTCGGAGTTTGAAAACCTCGCTTTTGTAAATTAAAAATCCCTTCTGGCAATTACGACTGCCGAAACGCGCGCCTTTCGACATTCACCCAAACAATATATTTGCAACATGCAACAACATGTTGGCAAGACTTTTTGGTTTTTGGCTTTGATGTCAACATGTTGCTGCATGTTGCTAACATGTTAGCCACGCGTGTCGTGTCGCAGAACAAGGGTAGCAGCAACAGTGGAAGGGACGACAGATACGTGATTTTTGCAAGCTCATCATAAATTTCATTACCTACTACTTGAAACAATAAACAGCTCAGAGAATATCAGGGGAGAAAAAAGATTTTACAAATCTTTCCATCATGAACTCTAACTCGCCTCCACAAGTCATGCCCACAATGCATGAAGAAGGCCGTGGATCGCGTTTTAAGCGACATTGACCAACATCTACAACCGTCATGTAAGCTAAACCTCTAACTAGCAAGCTCCGCCCTCTTTCACAAAACTGTCCAAATTCACACATACCCCAAAAAGTTTGCAATTCGGGGGCTGTTCTAGGCGAATAAGGTGCGGTTCATAAACATACGAACACCTTGAATTTTGAAAGTTTTGGACTTTTTGGAAGAAACTCAAAAAGCCGTTGGTACCACGCGATAGAGCACAGCCGAAAACGGTATATGATCCATAAGAATGGAAATAGATGTCAATCTTAAAAGTGTTTTTGCGCCTAATGCGAATTTTTAGCGGTTCATAATTATACGAACACCTCAAACAAAGGTCCATTTTTCATTCAAGATTGCAATCTTTCGAGTCCAAATTTTTTGTTTACAGCAACAAAGTCTGACATATCTGCTACACACTAAACCCAATGCAGTTCAAAAAGAGGACCTTTACTTTTTTCAGATGGCTCTAAATGCTTTTGGAGTGATTGCGCTCCAAAAACATCCGTTTCTCTGTAGCTCACGAACTCTAATTAGCTTTTACCAAGGCTATGAGATAAGATAAATTCCTTCTATAGGTATTTTGTTTGACGCTTGGAGAATCTTTGCGTTTCCGTGCCGTTTTTCAACCAAGTTCCAACCTTACCACAGAGTTAGCACAATTTCGATTCTTAAAACTCAGTTTCTCTCTTGCGCAAACACTTGATGAAGCAGCTGCTTTGTTTGCATGATGATGAATCCATGTCAAAGTTTTCGAGTTTTTTGTAGAACCGTTCTTGAGGTTATGGAGCTACAAACCAAATAAATGTGTGATTACAATAGTATAAACAGTGGTTTTGGTGAAATGACGTCTGCGCGGTTGAAACAAACGCTCAATGTTGCTGATTTTTTCTAGCCAAATACATTTTCTTGTGAACTTCTATGTACTATAAGCTTACTTCATTGTAGGGCCTCAAAAGCTGAGTTTAGAGGCTTGAATTCGTGCTAACTCTAGGGTAAGTTTGGAAGTTGGATGAAAAACGGCATGGAAACGCAAAGATTCTCCAAGCGTCAAACAAAATACCTATAGAAGGAATTTATCTTATCTCATAGCCTTGGTAAAAGCTAATTAGAGTTCGTGAACTACAGAAAAACGGATGTTTTTGGAGCGCAATCACTCCAAAAGCATTTAGAGCCATCTGAAAAAAGTAAAGATCCTCTTTTTGAACTGCACTGGGGTTAGTGCGTAGCAGATATGTCAGACTTTGTCACTGTAACTCTACAAAAAGTTTGGACTCGAGAGATCGCAATCTTGAATGAAAAATGGACCTTTGTTTGGGTGTTCGTATAATTATGAACCGCTAAAAATTCGCATTAGGCGCAAATACACTTCTAAGATTGACATCGCTTTCCATTCTTATGGAGCATATACCGTTTTCGGCTGTGCTCTATCGCGTGGTGCCAATGACTTTTTGAGTTTCTTCCAAAGAATCCAAAAACTTTCAAAATTCAAGGTGTTCGTATAATTATGAACCGCACTTAGCTTGAGCTTATTAGAGGCAGTCAAGCTTCACTATACATCTATGAGTAAGTGGTAAAGGGGCAAGGGGATTCTTACGCCTGTTTGTCTTGTGAGACTCTGACCTCCAACATTTATGTTACCTATTTCAATAATGCTGAGCAGCTCAAGCAATGATCTTTTAAGTCTTTAAATATTTGAGATGTTTCCAATTGTATTAAACACCAAAAATGGCTCATTGGTATCCGTCTGGTAATGAATATCGCGCCTCTTGACGTACATCCGTCGTTTTATTGTGATGCTCTTTCTTGCAGGCTCTGCAAGCAAAAAATTCATTGTTTTGCTTTTCCCTTTGGAGAATGAATATGTACGACGGGCGACTCTCAGGAGTGAGTGATACTATGAGTTTCCTTTTGGCTGACATCTCTTTCCCGATGTAGCGCTCGGTCAATGCTGAGGTTTAACTTGGCATAAAGGAAGAAAATAATTATCATGCTTGTATGGATGATCGAGATATAAACGTGATTTTTGGGAAGAATAAGTGATAGATTCAATGAAGTCTATTTTATGATCTCTATGACCTCACATTCCTCATTGATCTATCCGTCGATGGTACCGCTGGAAATTACCATGTTTATTGGTTATTTTACTTCAAGAAGAAGCTAGTGTGTGGATAAAACATGCTGCTCCTAAGCTTTACAGGCTGAACTTCATTCTAGGTCAATTAGCTGAGCCGAAGACGCTTTTTGGTCCAAATGTACTCGGCGCTTAGAAAATAATGTTACAATGCATTTCAAAATTTTCAGTTTGACCTACCATGCTCGACATCGCAGAAGTTCGCTGGCTCAATTCTGTGTATAGTTCCATGACTTGAGGAGAACTTTCAATGAGCCTGCTTCAGTTTTGCAACTACTCACTGGACTCTCTATCTTTGTATCGATCGGTCGGTCTCAACGTTCTCTCTCGACACGCTTGTCGCTTAGTCGAAATCTTCGAAGACTTCTTATACGGTTTCGCAGATTCAGCTTATTATTACTACCAATTATTCACAAGCTGTCCATCCCCCGCCGCCTGCCGAAAAAGGAGAGGTAATTAGTCCGTTTTATGCAATCTTAACCGACAAAGCTTTAGAGACTCTCTCCTTGGAAAATCAGTTGATCCAAATTTTGAAACCCGAGCCACAGACCATTTAGAGTGAAGAAAATGGAAATCCCTCGTCTTTTACGAGGTGCAAGAATCCGACTCTGGGTTTGAAGTTTGCATTGAAGGATTGTCACGAAAATTTTGGGTGCTCTAAGTGGAGGCGCGTCTAGTCGAAGTTATCGGATGGGGCTTTAACTGAGGGGAAACAAATTTGATAAAATGTGTCTTACCCTCGGAGCGGTTTATCTGGCAAGCTTTGCGCCAGGCTCCAAGGCTTCGTTCTCTTCCGGGTTTTGACCATAGTATCATTAGAAAATCGATGACGTAATAAGAATGATCGTGGGACCAAAAGCTCAGAAGAAGGGCACACGATCAGCGACAGTACAACGGTAAGAAGGTATACGTGATTCTTAGGAATGAGCGCGTAAAAGCAGCTCACATTCCTAACACAAGGTCGACGGATGCGAAAAACCAAATAATTTGCTAAGTCAAAGAAAACTTTCTTGCTTGTTCCTCAGTAGTAGGAATCTTTCGAACAAATTGCTGAAAATGCTTTATTTGCTTTTAATGAAAAAACTTCTTTTGGTTTTGTCACGCAACGTGGCTTACGCCAAGAATTCTGATAATGAAATTATAACCGATTTACCCCATTCTGTTGTGAGAACATATAGGGAGAAGAGGAGATGCTGTTTGTGCACTGATACACGACAAAGTACTAAATGAGAGCACCCCTCTTGATCCTTACCCTCTGCCACTGTCTAGCAGATGCGTATATTGAACATTTTGAGAAATGAAGCTTTATTTCGACCTAACGCTCTCTCAGTATCTCTTGTAATGAATATGATAATCCCATATCTCTGCTGTCTAATCTCGCTGCAAATACCCTAGGCGATTCCAGTTGGAGTGACACGGGTAAGGGTTTCGCAAAGACGATATATCAATCTTTTTGGTTCTTTTGAGATCCAGCTTGGGAATGCTCGCACAAGAGAGAGATCGATACGTGATATTATATCAACTTCACCTGACACTGCGAGCTTTTGGCTACGTCTCCCTGCTTGGTTTTTTGACCATTCCTTCGTTGAATTTGCTATTGAAAGACCATATGTACTGCTACTTCGACTAATAAGATTCGTGAATTCAAAGCTGAAAATTTCAATGAAATCGATGCTCAACTCATGATATTGATTGGTTTCAGCTGTGAGCGCTAAGGTGATTGATTTGTAACCAGGGTCAAGCGTGTGATGCAACGGAAGTTGTAAAGAGGGCACACTTAAGGTGAGGGGAGGGGTCGTAAGAGGGGGTAGTTAGGCTGAAATACCATAGCTTGAGAGTAATTCAAAAAGAAGATAATTAGTACATGCCCTTCACAAAAAATTTATGAAGAAGTGAAAATCAGAATAATAAAGAGTGAAAATCAGAATAAAAAGTGAAAATCAGGATAATAAAAGATGAGAGTCGGTAAATATTAGCAGAAAAAACATTTTCAAGAGAATTAAACACTTTTAAAGGATGCACGATTCGATAAATGTACCGATTGGCCTAGAAATTCTGCTTCCGAAGCCTCACTGAAGCCTTACATACTCGACAGAAGCGAATATCTTTATAAAGAATGTCTATCAATAATTTTTAGGTCTTTTTATAATGTTTTTCGCGGGCCCATACGATTTATCTTGGAGAAGTTCTACTGTACTTGTCATGACCTGGTTCTGTTTTGTAAACTGTGGGTTTACTGTAAACTGTAATTTCATATATGGTAGCAAAAGGTGAGAAAAGGCAGGAAGGGGTCGCATCTGGGTCGCGTCTAAATTTCAGGTTGTTTCATAACTTCTCCGGTGAGTTACAAAATTTCAAGCTTAAAAATCCCAAGTTTGCTGTTTAGGATCGCATGTAAATTTGCGAGAGTCGCATACAGATTTTTTTCGAACTCACTGCTCCTCAATGGCTGAAACTTTTCATGGATAGTCTGAGCATTAACTACCAGGGCTGGGCACAAGGTGGCTTCCCGAAATTGCAAAAAACGAACTCTTTAACTTCAGCATGAAAGTACGCCATTGGCCATTAGATATTAACGGCACCACTTAGACAACGAATCAATCAACATAACAGAAGCTTTCGGAACTTAACATTGAAAACATTTATAGTAGATCATTTCAAAATGAGTAAATACAATCCTTCCGAGATCAAAATTGATATGCTTGATAGTGCGGAAGAAAGGAACAAAGTAGAACTAAGAAACAAAGAACTACAATGGATCAAGTATTGTATATGACGCATATCCATTTGAATTCAATGATAATCAAAGGATATGGAAACATTTCAGATTCCATAGATCCACTGGAAAAGAAAGACCATCCATACTTTTGTAATCCTATAAGTACAAATAGGTTCAGAGGAAAAAAGAGAAGGTCTAAAAAGGCCCTAACAGAACTGAAGTAATCACTAATCGAATAATGAATTGAAATCATACAGTCTATGTAAATATTTCAGAACATTGAACAAACATGATATCAACAGACTAATCGACCTAACATTTGATATAAAATTTAACACATTCAGCTATGAATTGAGACATAATATATATGCGTTGAGCTAGACCGTTCTGGAACGGAAGTGAAAATAGGAGTATAGAGGCAAACAACGTATATGTAACAATTCCATACTTAGGTAACGTTATAAATAAGTTAAAACTCAAAAGTTTGTGTAATAACAGGGAAATGAAAGAAGTTATACTCACAGCTGCACCAGATTAAAGCAAACGAAGTGACAAATTGAAAGAATCGATTGGGACACATATATGTAACTACGATAAATTCCTCAGGAACATTGACACCAACTCTGTCAATAATATTTTGAATAGAATTTCTTTGTGCGACAATAAATATATTAACAGTAACCCGGGGCATGTATGTATAGGGGATGTTAATATAATAAAAGATGGTGAACTGAGAGAAATATTCACTAGAGGCTTCAAATACAAAACACACAGTGTAGTGACAAAACAAGACATATGGAATCTGCTGAAAGATTTGGCACGCTCTTTAGCATAAAGGTTAAAAAATGCTTCAAAGTTGAGTACCCCAACAGCAATACTTCTGGAAAGAAAGTTTGTAAAAATATTTACAAACAGAGTTAAGCCTAAACTTTATGAATTATGTGACCAAGAAGTCATCATGAAAGATGAGTATATAAGAGAGGAACTAAATAAAATACAAAAACATTTTGTAATTACACCAACAGACAAAGCAAGTTCCACTTTCAGCTTCACCTGCAAAAAGTTGTACTTATTAATGATATTAAAGAACTGGAACAAACAAACAGTAATGTGCGGACGTACAAGATTACACAACTTAAATCGGAAGAAGTTAGAGGTGTACATAAAAAAATATTACATGGATTGAATTTGAAAGTAAACCATGCATACAATGAAATACCCAAATTTTACGGGATTCCTAAAATGCATAAAATACCTATAAAACAGCACGTTAAAACCCCTGACAAAACTTTTGACACTTATATTCGCTCATATAAGAAAGCATTTTATGAACTACTGCAATGTTATCTTCCAGAAAAGTAAAATCAAACATTTTTGGGCGATTAATAATAGCATAACAGTGCTTAAGGACCTCAGTAGTTGCCACGGAAACAAGAATATTTGCTCGGCAGACTCCTTTAGTCTGTTCACGAGTTTACCGCACTCAGTAGTGAAGAACAACTTAAGTAAACTCATAACGCCGCTATGTATGGAGTGGTATAAATTTATAAGAATAAACAATCAGAATGTGATGTACTCAAATGTTACGAAAGCTAAAGGAAATTTTTATCAAATAGAAGATATACTATTTATGATAGATTCTCTTCTCGATAATAGTTATCTTAAGGGCCGGGCATACTTCATGCGATTTCAGTCGCGACGCGATTTGGCAATTCGCCAAAATTCTTCGGATCCAACATTAGTAAACTGCACATGCATAGTGTGTATAACTTACGTAAACTGGTGAACTGCCCTATCTTCTGTACATTTATAATGTGCTTACAATGAGTTATGGACACCTGGAATATTGCCAAATCGCGTCGCGATTGAAATCGCTTGAAGTATGCCCGGCCCTTTAGTTTCGCAGGTATGGTATACAAGCAGGAGAGGGGCATTCCACAAGGGGCTTCATGCAGTCCTCAGATGGCTGATTTAACTCTATCCTATATGGAATATGAATTTGTCAAAAGAATGAAAGCAAACAATAACATCGGGAACTTACTAGATCAACAACACCTACAGATACATTGATGATATCTTATATATAAAGCTGAATGTCTGTCTGTCTGTCTGTCTGTATGTCTGTCTGTCTGTCTGTACGTATGTGCGGAATAGAAATTTTTATTTCTGAACCGATCGGGACCAAACTTGGCACACATATACTTCGGGGCAGGGAGCGTGTCATAGGCTACTTTTCGTTATCGATCGATATCGATTTTATCGATTTTTTGCAAAATTTGAGCTAGGGGGCTGGGATTTTGCACAGGGGGGTAATCGAACATGCTGATCACCCCCACGGGGGTGATCAGCATGTTCGATTACCCCCCTGTGCAAAATCCCAGCCCCGTAGCTCAAAATTTGCAAAAAATCGGTGAAATCGACATCGATCGATAACGAAAAGTGGACTATGACACGCTCCCTGCCCCGAAGTGTATGTGTGCAAAGTTTGGCCCCGGGCGGAGCCGGGTTTGCCATCTAGTACTATATATTTCCGAATACGCCACTGATTTCGAACGGTCCTTGACGGACATTTACCACAACAAACTTATCATAGAAAGAACTAACACGAGGGAAAACGAAACAAACTTTTTAGACCTGAACATAAAAGTAACAAACAGTAATATAGCATTCGCATTATACAGGGTGTCCCAAAAAGATGTGCACAGTTTGATTATTAATAACTCTCTTGCTTTCATGTCTTTTGCCAAGCTTGAGGTACCATTCTTCAGAGCGAGGTCCATCTTAGATTTACTGTATGGAGCGATTCATAAGCAGCTCTTCATTACTGTAGGATTACGGTAAGAATTTCGGAAAGGATTTTGAGCCATTGGAAGAAGTTTTTTGCCTCAGAAAGAAAAGCCAAAAGCCAGAAACTCATGAACTGGCTCAATCGAAGTTGCTAATTCTAAATATGAAAACTGCACGTCAGAACACTGTTTCTTTCATGAGTTATATCAGATTTAGGGTAACAACTGGTTTTCCAATATTTGTTAGAAATGTGAATACGCCATCAAGAAAGCTCGAAAAACTGGTGGAAAGTTATGTAGTAAAATCAGCACGCCTGGAAACCTTGTTACACAATTTTTTAGATTTTTTCGAAGTTATTTCATCAAAAGGCTTATTCCACAGTGACGCTGTATGCTGAGAGTTCTTACCGTGATTCTATAGTAACGAAGAGCGCTTGGTGATTCGCTCCATACTGTAAATCTAAGTTTATCCTCGCCCTATAGAATGGTACCTCAAGCTCGGCAAAAGACGTGAGAGCAAGAGAGTTATTAACGATCAAACAGTGTGCACATCTTTTTGGGACACTCTGTATACAAAACAGATGAGTACAGCTTCGAAGTTTTAAGATATCCAATCTGGCAATCAAATGTACCCTATATATAATTACCAACACTTTTAAAACCGAAACAATTAGAATATATAGAAATTGTTCAGATTACATCACTTTCAAAAACAGACCTTTGCAACTGGCAAGACTTTCCAAGAAAAATGGATGGGAAGAAAGAATACTAATTAGAAACTTATGTCATACTTTGAGAGATAACCCTTACATATTGCGTAAAGATGGCTTTGATGTAGCTGTACCTTTGGTTCATGAAATAAGGGAACTCTGGGAGACATGATTTCAATTCACAAATATCATTGCGGGAATACGCTAAAACTCAGTGTAACAGAATTTTTAGTTGGATAATTAGACTGGGAAATTAATTTGAGATTCAAAACTTTTGTAGGTATAGTCTCCATAATACTCACAGTTAAGCTTAAATAGCCTTCACGAATGCAACCGTATGCACTAAGACAATAGGCCTGGGAAGCCTTGGAGTCCAGTAATTTTTCAATATTTGATCTCACCATTATGCTGTACGCGCCCGCGCGCCAGATTAATTAGGTCGAATTCAAACCAGGCACACATATATCTTAGTAGATGGCGGGATCTCATCTCATTTGCACATAGTTCATAAGCATTCCTACCGCTATCCTCGTTTTTTGTTTCACTTGCATTTAGCCAATTCCTTTTGGCTCTCTAATAGCACTAACGCATATGCTTTCACGAACTTTTGCAGCTTTCCTGGGAACTACTGAAGAGGGCCACCAGGAACGCTACTCTACCGGTATAGTTCTAAGGCCCGAAACCGATTGAGTGTAAATTTCTTCTTAATTTGATCTTTCAGAACTCAAATATAAATGTAAGAAACTTGTCTGAATTCACTTACTCTCTTTCTACTCTTTGAGGCTTTCTTAGGAAAGACTGGGATGGTACGGTGAAGTGAGGCATAGCCCGCTCCCAATACCGGACCAGTATCTAAATGCTTAGCATGTAGAGATTTGCTTTGTCAATACACGCAACTGAAAATTTTTATTGCAATAAAATTACACTACAAAAAGATGGGCTAGAACAATACACCTAGAATTAGACACCTAGTACTAATTAAAGGTTATCGAGTTAAACGTCAGTTGTGGACTCGAGGATAGTGGGGTTACTTCTCCTTCAAAGTTTCAACATCTTGTTACTTGATCCTTGTGAAGATGTACCAGCCTGGCGCTTGGACTTATTTCTCTCAATAGGCGTACTAGCTTCTTGGTGCTTCTTCTTCTCCTCCGCTATAGCTTCCGAAGAAATTGAATAACGGGCGGCAGCGTCTTCCAATGTATAGTACTTAACAAGTTTAATTGATCAACTTTTCCTTACACGTGCATATAATGAATTTAAATCAATTCTTACTTGTTTGTCTATACGTAGACGCATAGTTCCTTTGTCTACCAACACAATTTGCGTGGCAAACTTTGGGTCAGCTCGTTTCTTTTGACTCATTTGTGCCACTATCAAGCGCTTGAGACTGCAGGCTACTTCGTGGTCCTGACGTTCGTTGGGTGTAAGGACACGACCTACGGCAACCCATTTGTCCAAATGAAAAATCTATAACTTTTAACATCATCGGAACAAAAGATTAACTGCGCAACATAGGACGAGAGTCGGTCAGTTCCCCATATTTATTCCGATCTGAGTATCTGATTGAACCTTTGGCACCTTTTATACAGGCATCAGAAGTGATCAAGCGGAACTATTAACCTGCGGTATCACTTGACAAGGGTATAGTATGAGCCATACCTTCGATAGTCCAGAGACAGGGCGCCAAAAGTGAAGGTTGTTTGAACATCTGACGTTATAAATAGTGAAGGTTGTTCAAAAATGGTCAGAGAAGAGAAAATGACATAAAACAGATATAAAAAGCAAAAGAAACCGCTGTAAACCAAATAAAAACGGTGCAATAAGGTTCGAAATCTTTCGTTTGGCGGCTTTAGAGAGTGCAAGTTTTCGCTCCAGGACCAGCAATTCGCAACACGGGGTTTTGATTTTTGATGCGTCCTTTAAATTTTTACCCCGCATTAACGTTACTGTGTCCTGAGACGTTGTCTGGATTATTGCGCTTATTCTTCTGAGCAATAATCGCCCAAGCTGGAAAAAATTGATGCGAAAGAACTGAAACAGGACAAGGTAAAGAAAAACGCACTTTTTACGATTTTTCGCAAAAAATTCCACCATAGTCGAGGAGGTAAGGGCTGGGTGGTTGTCTGCATTATGAACAGAAGCAAGATCTACAAAATGCACGAAAAAAGCGCGTGAAAAGAGTCAAACTAGAAGAAAAACAAGAGATTTTCGAAAACACGGTTTTTGCCAAAATTCTCGATCATATCAAGAAATGTGGTTCTGGGACGTTGTCAGCGTGAAAATAGAGGTTAAGAGCTTCAAAATGATATAAAGCTTGCAAAATTTGGGCTCGAAACAGCGAAGAAAAGGGTACCAGAGCCAAATGCCCGCGCCCCGCGTTTAGGGCAGCGAGGTAGCGCACAGCGCGCGGAGACGCAGAGCAGCGGAGACAGACCAGAGCCGACGGGGCATTTGGCTCTGGTCGCAGATCTCCGCGGAGTCTCAACGAAACCCCGCAATATATATCATTCTGATCGTCATGACACGACGAGGAGAACTGACAACGTCCCAAGCTTTGAAAATCACTCATTAACGAAATAGACCAACATTTTCGTGCGCGAGCCTCTGCGCAAGAATTAAGCGCAGTTTCTCGTTTTTATTTAACTCCAATAGCTTTTCTAAACTTCTGAAACTCTATTTTGGTCAAATGAGAGGTTAACTGAGAAATTTTGTCCTGAATTCTGGCGAAAATTCCACAAAAACCTTCTTTTTAACGTAAAAAAGGCTATAAAAACGCAAATTCTCGGTTTCGCTGAGATTATCTAAGATTATTATTCCCTATATTTGATTCATTGACATACGGTCCTATATAGTCAAGATAATAACATCCAGGGCGAAGCCCCGGTGACTTCAGTTTTTTCCAGGTGAAGGTTGTGTCCCCTCATAGCCCTCAAAGTGAAGGTTACCAGAGTACGTGGCTCTATGTATCGAGGGTATGGTATGAGCCTTGCCTATATAGATATCATGGTCAGTCAAATTGCATTCAATCACGCCTAGATATGCCAAGCATACAGCACTCAAATCTCATACACATTCACTTGAAATCATTCCATTGAAAAGGTACTACATATATTGGCTTCCTAACGGTTTATGCCCAAATATAGTTCAAAAATAGTTCAAATGTATCAGACATTACCGTCTACAATTGTTGGGTCTGTCATATACGTAAACATCTCGTTACTCATACCAAAACAACGATAAGTCCTAGTATTATCTCAGTAAGTTAAACTTTTTCATATAATCCTTATCATGCGTGTATGTAAGACTATTGGCGAGAATTGACAAGCAAGTGCCATTGCGTACATATAGACACAATACATTTTACGGCATGAAGAAATTTCTAGCATGGCGTATCTATAGCATCAATTTCTTGTATATGAGATTCCTCTTTTAAATTTCCACTTACGTATGACCTAGCTAGGTGGTGAGACTAGTAATGTTCCTGTTCTGTCACAGATGTAAATAAGTTTGTTACTCATACCAAAACAGTGAAAAATCCTAGCTCTATATGACTATCTATGGCTATTGGCGTGAATTGAAAAGCAAGGTGCTATTGCGTACATATAGACACAACACATTCTACGACATAAGAAACTTCTAGCATTGTGTACATACATCAATTTCTTTGTTTACAATGTTCTTACTTTCATATTTCCTATCGCGTATAACCTAGCTACCTAATCTATAGGTCTAGGAAAACGCGTTGTGTACGTACTTACATCAAAAATGTGATTTTCAGTCCACTACAAGAATTGGAAGTTCGCTTGTACAAATCACAGAGTTTATATGTGAAATAGCTCATAAGGTAGTTATCGGTCAATCCATAGCGCAGTTTTAGTTTTCACATGTCCATAGTATCTTTTCTACTTTTGGTTTCTACATTTTTGTATTTGGTAACAAAAAAGTTGAACATATCTAACTGCTGAGCCAGCCATTACGCGCCCGGAACGTCGCCATTTAAACTTTTTAGGGAGCTATAACTAAGCGGAGAGGGGGGGGGGGGTTGAGGCGGTTTAGGAACCATTGTGTAGGGTTTGGGGTGTAGATGAAATTTATGTAAAGAATGTTAAAAAGCATGTGAGAGAGAAAAATTATATGACTTTTTCTTTCACAAGTCACCTCAGGTGGCTTGAAAGCCACCTAATTCCGAAGATAGTTGAGTACGCTTTGAATTCACATGTTTTTTAAAAATTATACATAGTCCTAACTCGTCATTGCCCATCTACACACGATTTTGGTGTCATTTCATTCACTTCGCTGTAAACAAGCCCACTGGTTGTTTGGGAGAGCATACCGCCCGGATGCCACGATATCCCCTCGCTTTTCCGAAAACGATATCCAGCTTGCTTGGTAAGCCACCTGTGCCGTGCTCTGTCCCTGACAACGGGATGCTTCGACAAAGAATATTCTCCTAGATCCATCCGAGTTCTTCTCAGAGGGAACTTCCAACTGGAATCGATACTGGACCAGAGCACTACCGCATCTACCCAGCGCTGGCTAACTCTCGCAAAGATTAACGAGGTCATTGCTTCCCAGTGTAGCGCCCCAGCCTAGCGACTGCTCAACAACAGCAACATTTATCGAGCTTCAAAACTTTGGAACACCATCGCTTTTCGATAGCGCGGGCGCAAAGTCATGCGAAGCGTACTGGCCGGTGGGGCGCTCGCATACGACGTCGAGCATGAGCCTTCGGGCACGCAACCGAGTGCATTGGCCCCGTGCATTGGCGCAATTGCCGCCCAGTGGTATACTAGCTCGTGTCAACGGCTTAGGGTACTGGCATTGTTCTGGATGCCAAAGACTTCTTTATCGTATTGGCCTGGCCACAGGGATTAACACTGCATTCTACTCGATTAGCATTCAATCAATAACAATTCCGGACGTCGAGGGTTTGACAAGCAAATGGTATAAGCGAAGGGTTTCGTACTACGAACTGAACCCAAAATTTGCAAGCCATCCGTAACTCTAAACTAACTTTGAAGCGATCCCAAATTCCACGCATGTTTGCACCGAAAACTATAACGGCTTACCTTCTCTGCGCCTCATATTTTCTCTTCATCGCGTCACGCTGTAAGCAGGAGCCGAGCACGAGTTTGTCCTGTCCACCGAGTTTGTCCAGTTTGTCCTGTTTTCGCTTAACCAGATCAAATCATTCAAAGCCGCATTCGAAGGAGTCCTTGCAGCAGTGATGATAGCACCGTTATGCGCTTTCGAGATTCAGCAGTACCTACGACATTACCATCGACGAGTCCATTCCCAACATATTCTGTACTATGCGCTTCTTGGAGCTCCCAGTATCCGTTCAAGCGCGAGAATTTTTCTGCCAACAGGTACATCGCTTCCTCCCGTTGTACTCGAATGAAGGAGCCCCCCTCAAAATGTTCAATTCGGACGCAGTGCTTGCCAGACTCGAAGATCGAAACAACTATTCAACTCTTTCCACAACGACACGACCCATGAAACCTTGAAAGATGTGGAAACTGTGTAACGCCCTAGCCGGAATGCTGGGGAGGCCCAATGACCCCAAAGGTGAAACGATTCTCATTGAATCCATTTGTTGAAATAGCAAGCTGTACGATTGACTACTAGATAGCTGAACGAAAAAGACTCGGACTGAGATGCTGATGAAACTGTGTTAATAACTAGAACAAAACGAGTACACCAAAAATAAAAGTTTGACGCAACGTGAGGAGATACACGAGAGGCGTCAAAGAAATAATTTACAGCCACAACTGAACCCGCAAGTCAATGCAAGATCACCGAGCACCTGAAAAGACAGGTTTTAGAGGTAAAATGGAGAAGAAAGGTAATAGAAAACAAAGCCCAAAGCGATTCCATCCGCCATCATAGCACGTCCAAAGCACCCAATGGAAGCCCAAAAGGTCTAATGCAGAAGGCTCGCCCTGTCATGCAACACTAATCAGTGTTAGCGATACTTGACAAGTCAAGCCTTCTCAGTCTACTCCTGAAAATATGACTACTCTCTGCACTAGCGGTCTCAACCGGGAGGTGCGAAAGCCACCTAGCCGACCTGTAGAACACGTTGTTGAACATAAGCAAGTATCTCTTGCGCCGGATTCTTGGATATTGCAAGTTAAAAGAGCCTGACCTTTCGCTTGTAGGAACAAAAATCCAGTATTTACTGGCTCTTAACTTGTTCTCTCTTCTCAGAACTTGAAAACAGAATACAAGATCCAAGAAAGCACGACGGTTTGTTAAGGATTTCATATGAAACCTCTCAAACCGGGTCTGGTAATCGGGAGGGGTGGTTCCGGGCGATAAACGTCTATACAACAGTCGTGTAAAAAGCTGTTGCTTTTCAATTCTGCGAATATCCTTTTTACGAAAGGGGGACCAGACCTGAGAACAGTATTCTAAATGAGGACGAACTAATGCTTTATAAAGCGGTATAAGTATCTTCGGAGAACTAGCATTAGTATTGCGGAAAAGCAGAAAGAGTGAAGAATAAGCTTTTTTGACTAACGCATTGATATGCTCAGTGAAGTTAAGATTTGTATCAATCACGACACCCAAATCTCTAACAGTATCACAACTCTTCAATATAGAGCCTTTGATGTGATACGAGGTAGTATTTCCACCTCCAAGATGAAGCACTGAGCATTTGTCAAAATTTAACGCTAATTCCCAGACCCAGAAGATTTGTCTACGAACAGTTCATCTCTTTAATAGAAGGCGATTTTATGGTGAGCGCCGCTCATGGTCTTCGTGCGCTAACCTGCTCCAGTGCCGCCATTCAATTCTTTTTACCTCCTGAAGGACCTCACTCTTGCAAACCTGGAACACTTGTCCAGCTTTGCTAATCGCGACGAAATCTCACGAACTATGTCCAGAACTTAAAGTCTGCGGCGAATGAGTGTGAATCGAGCATATCGCTTTACTGCTTGTAGCAGTAAAGCAATTGTTATGTTGTAATCCAAGGAGGGCTATTCTCAGACAAAAGTGATTATCCATACACTGCCAAAAACGGTCATGAAAAGAGTTTTCCCCGGAAACCCAGATGCATCCATAAGAATAATTTTATTCCAAAAGATGTTCATGCTCTTCTTGTAACTGATTGTAAGTCTCAAATTCGTTTTTATGGCTTTTTGTGTCACTTGAGATGCAACAAATTGTAGCTACGTTATAAGCACAGCAGTAGGTGTAGACTTTCATTTCCATTCATGAAATACACATATGTAAGAGTCAAATTGTGTAGATATGTCAAGGATATGTTCGATATAACATTTTTCTGAGTAGACCATTTGGCTGAATTTTGTTCCCCCATAAATAAGCCACGTTACCGTTGGCTACTTCTAACGTCGAATCACCTGGCCCTTTTATCGACTTATTAATTTTTTTTACTTTCAAGCAAAATGAAGACCCATCAGATTATTTTTCTGGATTATGATGAACAACAGCTGTATGTCCCATTCGAATTCTGCATGCAAAGGGCAGTGACAAAAAGTGTACCTCGAGTAGGTCACCGTAAACTTTTGTAAATGATGCGTTCGCGTTTAGGTCCTTAAGATTCTGCCGCAACTTCGTGAATGCCGCGTTTCTTTATATCAGCATGAATGTAAAAGGAGTGAGGTCTACTGCTTACACGCATTTTTATGACTGACAAATACCACCAAAACCAAGAGAATTCGGACAGCCATATGTAAGGCATACATGACCATGTGTTTAGAAAAAACAACGTTCTTGGTCGTAGATTGAGAAAATGCAGAAGGATCCCCGAAAAATATAGTGGCGTTACCATGTCTTGTAACAAGCCGCTTATTCTGAGGATGTTTGGATTTGTCCGTTACGCAATACAGCACTCCAAAGCAAAGGGAGCTTTATAATAAGATTCATTTTTGTTCTCAACTGAAGAATGGTCGAAGCTCAAACTATAGGTAAGTTTATCTGATTGTTTCAAATTGACCAGTGCGAGCCTCTCATAGCAGAAGTGATGCACGGTTAAAAAAACACAACCTGGCTTACATTAACTATCATAGTTCACTTTGTGAAACAAAATGTCTCAAAAATGAGCAAATATATTTGGATTTCCATTAAGTGATAAAAGTATCGAAGATGGATGGAAAAACAAGCGAAAAGAGGACACGATAAAAGGGCAAGATAGAATATTCATGAACATCGTGATAAGTGCTGTGCTAATCATTCGCATCCATCCCACAATACGAGTACGTCCGTGGGGGCGAAGCAAACGCGATGAGTGGGATAAGCACGTCTTTTCAAAAAATCCCAACAAAAATATTATAGCAAGAATAGATGGACGTGTTATATCTTCCCTATGATCCATTTATACTGCTAAGCTCTTCACAGCGTGATTTTAGCTATAAGCTTGACGTACATTTTTTAAAATTCGTTGAAAAAAAATGAAACATTTAGTGTAAAAATCATAGAGATCATAGCAGTTAAAGCGATTCAAACAGTGATAATGCTAAAAAAAATAAACCGGCGTGACTATGCCAGTTCGTACTTCATAATCCAGTAAAGATTGGATTACATTTAAAATTGTGACATGCAGATTATACTCAAATTGCAATGAAAGCTTCTTAGTCTTTTCATAATTACCGCCCGATATTCACTGCAAATCAAAAGAAGTTCAAGTCGAGCTTTCATCTGAAGGGAATTTTTGTTACTATTATATTAATGTAAAATCGTGCGTGATTATTGGTTTCCATCTTTTCTTTTCTGTAATGGAGCTAATCAAGTAAGACAAGCTGCGATTAGCACTTATGCGATACTCATAGCAAGCATCACATGTGCTTTACGTTTTTGGTCTCTTACTGTATATAAAGTTCAATTTGATAGTTAAATTTCAGTGTATACTTTTCAATGGAGAATCAAACTACAGAAGCCAGAGTTAGAAGTGAATCAATGATGATGATTAAGGTAGCGGGTTAACACACCTAAGGAAGAACGTTATCATCAGAAACCCTAGTGAGTTAGCTTACTTTTATGGCTATACTCTTATATCTCATCACCTGCACCCTTTTTTATAAAATAGTCATCCAAATTGTCACTGCTTCGAATTGCCGCAGTGTAAACTTGATATACTTCATTTTCCGCGTATTTTTTTTTTGATCAGAGCACTAGCATTAGTGGAAAAGGAGCGTAGCAAAGTTCCACAGACAGCTCTTGACGACTGCAGATGCAAGGGAAAAGCTGCAGCAGATTTAGCAGCTTTTTGCTGCTAAATTGTTTAAATAAGTTTACAGAGATGCTCTCTTCACACTGAGAACACCGAGATGGAAGCGCAAGCAAATGCCGTTCATAGTCGTGCTATACACCTCTTATGAATCCCATGGAAGATAGCGGGAAAAGGAGATGGTGGAAAGTCGTGCTCAAATGCTATCAGGCGCCTCCCTCGCTCGTTTATCCCATATGCGGCTAGCTATGCTATAGTTAATTGTGTCAGCATTTTCCAGCATAAGCATCTCTAACTTCATTGTTAGCAGCTTTTCAGTATTTCTAGCGTGCCAGAAAACTACAAGGCCATATGATGCATAATTTGCAGCTTCCATCTGACACTGCCATTTATTCTGAAATTAAGAGACTCGAAATGCTTTGCACACATTTGTCTAAACGAGCTTGTATTTGGGTCAATAAGTCTATATTCATAATGTATCCTTTAGCTTTGGTAGCCTCCTAATCTCAGAATAGATGATAGTAAGCCGTGAACAGAAGGTTTTGACATGCTTGTCTATGGGCTTGAGATGCGTGTAACGTTTTCCAAACTTGTTTTTTGAACGTTTTTAATAGATGGTAACATGAAGAACAAGAATTCTTGAGGACTCAAAATACAGAATATGTTTTGAGTAGCTGCAATAGTTTCATTGACAGGAAATAATGTCATCATCCTAAAATTGAGATACCTAATCATTTAGATGCAGCGATCAAGCTTGTTTTTCTCCGTGAGATAGAGGAAAGTAGGAGAGCTCTTTGTTCAAAATTCTGGGCCTGTTTATCACATTTAGCAATTAAGGGCGATTTGGAATTTTGTTTTTCGTTTTCGTTTGGAATCTTCTATAATCGATCAAATGTTGCATTGAAAGTTCACTTTAGATCGCAGCTAGCTGCGTAAATTTGCTGCAGAATTTTACAGCATTATTGGAGTAAGGTTTCTTGACATGCTCTCATTATATTTGCAGCATTTCCCGGTCCAGCATTATATTCGACTTTTATGACTTCGTTGGATGGTTGGCTTCCTTCAAAAGCCAGCTTTCACTTTGGTACAAACATTTTTGAAATTCGCCTTATTCTGAAGGTCATATTTTACCTCTTTCGATTATGATTCATCTTGATAATCTATGTGCTGACGGATCACCGA